CGCGTGGAGTGGGAATGGATGCAAGCCTGCGTCAATTGACTTTCGCGCGTCAGCGGCACCCCGTAGCATACGCTTCATTGTTCTCTTTGTTGTATGCCTTTGGGGGGGGGGGAGGAGGAGGAGGAGGTGCAGCCGCCGGCGCCCCCACGAGGCAGCCAGACAACGCTAGGTCGACGTCGGGTGCAAACGGTGGCGGCGGCGGGGGTGCCGCCGCTGCAGCCGACAGGGGGTGGGACGAAGCCGGGGCTGCGGCAAGCGTGAGGCAGCGACAGCAGCAGCAACAACAGCAACAGCAACAGCAACAGCAACACCAGGGGGTAGTGTCGCAGGGAAGTGATGCCATCGGCGGTGGGGGAGAGGGAAGGTCGGGCGGGGAGCAGGCTCGTGGCGCGAGCACGGCAGAGGTGGGGACGCTCATGCAGAGGCTGGCGGTGGCGCATCTGCCGGAGGAGCAGCGGCGAGCGGCCTTCAACCAGGCCCAGCTCGCCCAGCAGCAGCAGCAGGAACAGCAGCAGCAGCGGCAAGCTCAGTACCATCAGCAGCTGCAGCAGCAGCAGCAGCAACAGCAGCGCCAGGCGATGCTGTCCCAGCAACAGCAACAGCAACAGCAACAGCAGCAGCAGCAGCAGCAGCCCCCACCCCCGCCTGGACCGCCGCCGCCGATACGAGCTACTCCGAGCACAGCCCCCGCCCCCGCCCGGACCCCCGCCTCCCCTGCAGCCGCCGCCGCCGCAGCAGCAGCAGCAGCAACAACATCAACAACAGCAGCAGCAGCAGCGGCAACAGCAGCAGGTGCTCTTGGCGTCCCCTCCGCTCGGCGCGACAGCGTACCGTGGTGGGGCCGCGGCGCTGTCGCTCGCGGCCGTGAACAACGGGCAGTCGCTGGGCGCAGAGATGGCGGTGGAGGAAGCACGTCGGCGGCAGGTGTGTCCGCATGTGTCTGTCCGGCTGGTCAGGCTGAGACGCAACGACAGCAGTGGTCCCTCTACTGTATAAGGACGCATAGTGCCAAGAGGGCTTGACACGTCTGTTGTGCAGGGATCAACGCTATCGCTGTATGCTGCGGTTGACGAGTCTAGAGACTTGTGGTATTAAAGTCCATTCTACCAGACGTCTTGGGAAGTACTGGGTGAGCTAATTGTGTGTGGCTTGTCGAGTCTTTCCGTCAGATTGTTGCCTAATTGTTTTCCGTGGCTTGTTGTCTTGAATCGGCCATCTGCGCTACAGTAGATGGATCATTTCGGTGTCGACGGTCCTCCTGTGGGAGATACACACTCCGTTTCGAGCGGTTTGTGGTGTCTTGACGACCTACGCCTCGCCCCTCTCTTGCTTGCTTTTGTATACCTCGCTCTTCGGCTTGGCTACGACATGCGGCATGATAGATACAGCAACAGCAGCAGCGCCTGCTCATGCACCAACAGCAACGGCAACACCAGACCCAGCAGCAGCAGCACTTGCTAGCCCAACGAGAGCGAGAACGTCAGGTGGACCAGCTCAGGCAGCTGCAAATACAGCAGCAGCAGCAGCAACGGCAGCGCCAGGAAATCCACCAGCAGCAGCAAGCTGCGCTTCGCCAACGGCAGCAGCAGCAGCAGCAGCAGCAGCAGCCGCAGCAACAGCAGCAGCAAAGGTACCCCGCGGAAGCTACCGGAATCAGCGCTAATGCGCACGCCCTCCAACAACAGCAACTGCTCAGGCAACGCCAGCTTGCACAGCAGCAGCAGCAGCAGCAGCAGCAAGCGCAACGGGCGGCGGGCGGGCGCGGGGGCACGGCAGGGGTAGCCGGGTCACACTTGCTTAGCCCTGTCGGGGGGCCGATGGTCATGCAGGTACAGCAGTGTTACAGGCAGATAGTAAATTGAGTACCGGGCGGCCTGCCTATGAAGCACGGGCGGGTTGACGGGAAGCTTGTACACATTCTGAATTTTATGATTCACGCGCCAAGCGCCCCCCCCCCCCCCCCCCCCCCTTCTCAAAGTTTAATTGGTAAACTTAAGGGGGGGAAGCCCCCGGTCAGGGGTGGTTGGGGGCCCCCCCCGAAACCGGAACGGCAGGTTTTTTAAACCGTTTTTGAAAAACCCCAACCTGAATGCCGCCCCCCCAACCCCACAAGGGCCCC